CCATCTGCTGACAGCCACCCCCAAATATCTAAATACATTCACCCTCCTACTCTCTCCTCCAATCTGATATCCAATCTTTCATCACCTAATCTTTTTGTTATCCTCATAACCTTACTCTTTCCTGTATTCACTTTTAATTTTCTTCTTTTGCATACCCTACCAAATTCATCCACCAACCTCTGCAACTTCTCTTCAGAATCTCCCAAGAGCACAGTGTCATCAGCAAATAGCAATTGTGACAACTTCCACTTTGTGTGATTCTTTATCTTTTAACTCCACGCCTCTTGCCAAGACCCTCGCATTTATTTCTCTTACAACCCCATCTATAAATATATTAAACAACCACGGTGACATCACACATCCTTGTCTAAGGCCCCCTTATTTACTGGGAAATAAGTTCCCTCGTTCCTACATACTCTAACTTGAGCCTCACTATCCTCGTAAAAATTCTTCACTGCTTTCAGTAACCTACCTCCTACACCATACACCTGCAACATCTGCCACATTGCCCCCCTATCCACCCTGTCATATGCCTTTTCCAAATCCATAAATGCCACAAAAACCTCTTTAGCCTTATCTAAATACTGTTCACTTATATGTTTCACTGTAAAACACCTGGTCCACACACCCCCAAACCTTTCCTAAAGCCTCCTTGTTCATCTGCTGTCCTATTCTCCGTCTTACTCTTAATTCTTTCAATAATAACTCTATCAATAATAACTCTACCATACACTTTACCAGGTATACTCAACAGACTTCTTTCTTTCTTTCAACACACCGACCGTATCCCACCGAGGCGGGGTGGGCCAAAAGGAAAAACGAAAGTTTCTCCTTTTACATTTAGTAATATATACAGAGAAGAGGTTACTTGCCCTTGCTCCCGGCATTTTAGTTGCCTCCTACAACATGCATGGCTTACGGAGGAAGAATTCTGTTCCACTTCCCCATGGAAGTAAGAGAAAATAAACAACAAGAACAAGAACTAGTAAGAAAATGTATTAGAAAACCCAGAGGGATGTGTATATATATGCTTGGTACATGTATGTGTAGTGTGACTAAGTGTAAGTAGAAGTAGCAAACATACCTGATATCTTGAATGTTTATGAGACAGAAAAAACACCAGCAATCCTACCATCATGTAAAACAATTACAGGCTTCCGTTTTACACTCACTTGGCAGGACGGTAGTACCTCCCTGGGTGGTTGCTGTCTACCAACCTACTACCTATACTCAACAGACTTATCCCCCTATAATTTTTGCACTCTCTTTTGTCCCCTTTGCCTTTATCCCAAGGAACATGCATGCTCTCTGCAATCCCTAGGTACCTACCCTCTTCCATACATTTATTAAATAATTGCACCAACCACTCCAAAACTATATCCCCACCTGCTTTTAACATTTCTATCTTTATCCCATCAATCCCAGCTGCCTTACCCCCTTTCATTTTACCTACTGCCTCACGAATTTCCCCCCACACTCACAACTGGCTCTTCCTCACTCCTACAAGATGTTATTCCCCCTTGCCCTGTACATGAAATCACAGCTTCCCTATCTTCATCAACATTTAACAATTCCTCAAAATATTCCTTCCATCTTCCCAAAAAACCTCTAACTCTCCATTTAATAACTCTCCTCTCCTATTTTAAACTGACAAATCCATTTGTCTCTAGGCTTCCTTAACTTGTTAATCTCACTCCAAAACTTTTTCTTATTTTCAACAAAATTTGTTGATAACATTTCACCCACTCTCATTTGCTCTCTTTTTACATTGCTTCACCACTCTCTTAACCTCTCTCTTTTTCTCCATATACTCTTCCCTCCTTGCATCACTTCTACTTTGTAAAAACTTCTCATATGCTAACTTTTTCTAGGTATAAATACTGGTCAAAGAGCCCGTTTAAGTCCGAGGCGTCAGTAAATGAGTACATCGCTAAGTGAGGAGAGGCTGTATTATTATTAACCGCCACAACTCCCACTTAGTTTGTTTCATTATCATTTAATCTTTCGCCTCTCCCCAACACTCTTGCATTCATTTTCCTACAAAACCATCTATAAATGTTAATGAAAGTTGACATCATGCAGCCCTGTCTAAATCCTACTTTCATTGAACTATAGTTTCTCTCCTTTGTACATGCCTCACTCTGCATAAAACACTTTACTACTATTAGTAACCTACCCTTTTTTTATGTCTGCATCATCTACCACATTGCTTCCATTCTTTCTTTCAACACACCGGCCTTTATCCCACCGAGGCGGGTGGCCCAAAAGGAAAAACGAAAGTTTTCCTTTCACATTTAGTAATGTATACAGGAGAAGGGGTTTCTAGCTTCTTGCTCCTGGCATTTAGTCGCCTCTTACAACACGCGTGGCTTACGGAGGAAGAATTCTGTTCCACTTCCCCATGGAGGTAAGAAGGAATAAACAAGAACTAGAAAGAAAATAGAAGAAACCTAGAAGGGTGTGTATATATATGCTTGTACATGTATGTGTAGTGTGACCTAAGTGTAAGTAGAATAGCAAGATGTACCTGAAATCTTGCATGTGTATGAGACAGAAAAAAAAAAAGACGCCAGGAATCCTACCATTGTGTAAAACAATTACAGGCTTTCATTTTACACTCACTTGGCAGGATGGTAGTACCTCCCTGGGTGGTTGCTGTCTACCAACCTACTACCTAGGTTGCTTCCATCTTCTTCTTTCTTTCAACACACCGGCCGTATCCCACCGAGGCGGGGTGGCCCAAAAGGAAAAACGAAAGTTTCTCCTTTTACATTTAGTAATATATACAGGAGAAGAGGTTACTAGCCCCTTGCTCCCGGCATTTTAGTTGCCTCTTACAACACGCATGGCTTACGGAGGAAGAATTCTGTTCCATTTCCCCATGGAGATAAGAGGAAATAAACAAGAATAAGAACTAGAAAGAAAATAGAAGAAAACCCAGAGGGGTGTGTATATATGTGCTTGTACATGTATGTGTAGTGTGACCTAAGTGTAAGTAGAAGTAGCAAGACGTACCTGAAATCTTGCATGTTCATGAGACAGAAAAAAGGACACCAGCAATCCTACCATCATGTAAAACAATTACAGGCTTTCGTTTTACACTCACTTGGCAGGACGGTAGTACCTCCCTGGGCGGTTGCTGTCTACCAACCTACTACCTAGGTTGCTTCCATATCCTTATCATATACTTTATCTAAATCCATAAATGCAATAAATGGCTTCCTTCCCTCATCAGTGTAAATACAGCCTCTCCTCACATAGCAACATACTCGTTTACCGATGACTCGGTAAACGGGAGCTCTGACCAGTATGCATACATAAATAATGAATGTTAGTTGATTTCCTCTATTCTGTTTATTACAATACACAGTGCACTACTATATAAATATTTAAAAATATACCAGAAATGTTGTAAGCGGTGCAAAGGTGACATTAAAACAATATCAAAGATGGTTGACACAAACCCGCTACCGTTATTGTATACTCCTCTCTTAGCGACGAATTTGTTTACCATTGTGGTCTTAGGACCAGAACTCGGTCATTAAGTGAGGAGAGGTTGTACTTGGTTTACTACCATTCCTGAATCTGCCTTTCTCTTCTGCAAGGAGGATTTACACTGTATTGTATACTCTCCAGGCTTATTCCCCTCTAATTCTTAAACTGTCTTGTACCTCTTTTCCCTATGCAAAGGAACTATACATGTTCTCTGCTAAGCCTTGGGTACCTTCCCTTCTTTCACGCATATATTGAACAAATACACCAGCCACTCTTAACACTATCCCCACTTGTTTTTTAATTTTTTATTTTATTGGGAAAACTGAAGTTTAGTGAGAGCAAGTGAATGTAATCAAATTCAAATGTTGACTTTATTAAACTGGGTGAGGTGTAATCTCATGAAGAGCCAAGTTGCTCAGGGGTAAGCATTAAGTTAAATGTATTTATTATGTCCTAGTTTCATACTTTAGAGATGAAAGCTAACAGAATTTTAATTAAAAATTCTTACTGTTATATATTTTTACATTGCAGGCAGAAAAGGAGATGGCTCTGAAGCTAATTACGGAAATAAGATCACAGTCTGTTATGGCTCTGGATACTCTCGAATGTAAGATTTGTCATCCGCCCCGTCTGTTCACTGCTCCGTCCACACTTCTGTCCCATTACCGCAGTCATGCAGGTAGCTATTCTGGTCTTTAGTTTCACTGATAAATATGATAAGAGATCAGAGGGCTCATTTGACTGTTATTGAGGCATAGCCAGGTTATGTCAAGGAGCGAGTTCTCATAAAAGATGTAAATTAATTATACACTTTTAAAATTAAAATATAAATAAAAAGTTTTACAATAAGTATACATGTGTATGCATCTTGCTCTGTAATTGGGAGTGGACATGTCAGCAGATGGATCGATGAAAGATGAGGTGAATCATGGAATTGATGAGGGGAAAAGGGTGAGCGGTGCACTTAGGAGTCTGTGGAGACAAAACTTTGTCCTTGGAAGCAAAGAGGGGAATGTATGAGAGCATGGTTTTACCAACGCTCTTATGTGGTTGTGAAGCATGGGTGATGAATGTTGCAGTGAGGAGAAGGCTGGAGGCAGTGGAGATGTCATGTCTGAGGGCAATGTGTTAAGTGTGAATATGATGCAGAGAATTCGTAGTTTGGAAGTTAGGAAGAGGTGCGGGATTACCAAAACTGTTTTCCAGAGGGCTGAGGCAGGATTGTTGAGGTGGTTTTGACATGTAAAGAGAATGGAACGAAACAGAATGATTTCGAGAGGGGCTTGGACTTCCAGCAAGCATGCATGAGCGTATTTGATAGGAGTAAATAGAGCCAAATGGTTTTTAATATTTGACGTTTTTAATATTTGGAGGGATATGTTGTGTATCTCTATACGTATATGCTTCTAAACTGTTGTATTCTGAGCACCTCTGCAAAAACAGTGATTGTGTGAGTGAGGTGAAAGTGTTGAATGATGATGAAAGTATTTTCTTTTTGGGTCACCCTGCCTTGGTGGGAGACGGCCGACTTGTTGAAAAAAAATATATACAGTGGACCCCCGCATAGCGACCTTAATTTCCCTGCAAGAGGGCTGGCTGTTATGCGAAATGTTCGCTATGTGAATGAATTTTCCCCATAAGAAATAATGGAAATAAAATTAATCCGTGCAAGACACCCAAAAGTATGAAAAAAAATTTTTTTTACCACAAAAAAATGTTAATTTTAGTACACACAAACTGAAAAAGGCATGCACAATTACATGACACTTACTTTTATTGAAGATCTGGTGATGATTGATGGGATGGGAGGAGGGGAGAGAGAGTGTTAGTGTTTAGAAGGGGAATCCCCTTCCATTAAGACTTGAGGAGGCAAGTCCTTTTGTGGGTTACTTCCCTTCTTCTTTAATGCCACTAGGACCAGCTTCAGAGTCACTGGACTTCTTTCGCACAACATATCTGTCCATAGTGGCCTGTACCTCTCGTTCCTTTATGATTTGTCTAAAGTGGTTCACAACATTGTCATTGGGAACAGTCACCAGCACGGCTTGCAATAGCTGTGTGAGGGTGATTTTCATCAAAAAAGGTTTGCACTTCAAGCCATTTTGCACACATTTCCTTAATCTTTGAAGTAGGCAATTCCTTCAATTTCTCTCTCCCCTCCTTTGAACCAGTTTCCGCAGGTCTGGCCTCTTGCTCTTGAAGTTGATCTATCACTCATCTGTGGTTAGTTCTTCATTGTCCTCCTCCACCAACTCTTCCACATCATCCCCATAACCTCCAACCCCAAGGACTCCCCAATGCCACAATTGATTCCTCAACTGGTATACTCCTCTCAGGGTTAGCCTCAAACCCTTCAAAATCCCTTTTGTCTACACATTCTGGCCACAGTTTCTTCCAAGCAGAGTTCAAGGTTCTCTTAGTCACTCCCTCCCAAGCCTTACCTATAAGGTTTACACAATTGAGGATATTAAAGTGATCCTTCCAAAACTCTTTTAGAGTCAATCGAGTGTCTGTGGTCACTTCAAAGCACTTTTGGAAACAGAGCTTTTGTGTACAGTTTCTTGAAGTTGGAAATGACCTGCTGGTCCATGGGCTGCAGGAGAGGAGTGGTATTAGGAGGCAAAAACTTCACCTTAATGAAGCTCATGTCCCCATAAAGTCGCTCTGCCACGTCTGTAGGATGACCAGGGGCATTGTCTAACACCAGGAGGCACTTAAGTTCTAATTTCTTTTCAGTTAGGTAATCTTTCACATTGGGGGGCAAATGCATGGTGTAACCAGTTATAGAAAAATTCCCTAGTGACCCATGCCTTAACTGTTTGCCCTCCACAGCACACACAAATTATCCTTGAGGACATTCTTTTGCCTGAACGCTCTGGGAGTTTCAGAGTGATACACTAATAAAGGCTTAACTTTGCAATCACCACTAGCATTGGCACACATCAACAAAGTAAGCCTGTCTTTCATAGGCTTATGTCCTGGGAGTGCCTTTCCTCCTGAGTAATGTAGGTCCTGCTTGGCATTTTCTTCCAGAACAGGCCTGTTTCATCACAATTAAACACTTGTTCAGGTTTCAGTCCTTCAGTTTCTATGTACTCCTTGAATTCCTGCACATATTTTTCAGCCGCTTTGTGGTCCGAACTGGCAGCCTCACCATGCCGTATCACACTATGTATGCCACTACGCTTCTTAAATCTCTCAAACCAACCTTGCTGGCCTTAAATTCACTCACATCATCACTAGTTGCAGGCCTTTTTTTAATTAAATCCTCATGCAACTTCCTAGCCTTTTCACATATGATCGCATTGAGAGACTCTATCTCCTGCTAGCTGTTTTTCATTTATCCACACCAATAAGAGTCTCTCAACATCTTCCATCACTTGCGATCTTTGTTTCGAAAACACAGTTAAACCTTTGGCAAGAACAGCTTCCTTGATTGCCGTTTTCTTGCCCACAATAGAAGAGATGGTTGATTTGGGTTTCTTGTACAACCTGACCAGGTCGGTGATACGCACTCCACTTTCATACTTATCAATGATCTCTTTCTTCATTTCTATAGGAATTCTAACCCTTATTGCTGTAGGGTTGGAACTAGAAGCTTTCTTGGGGCCCATGGTCACTTATTTTCCAGAAACAGCACCGAAAAACTGCAATAATACGAAATATTCCGATTGTATGCTTGAATGTTACCACGGAGGCTGGCTGGTAAACAATGCCACCGGCGGAACATATGAGGCTGGCTCAGGCCGCACATTGGACGCGTCTCGGACGAAGGCCGCTGAGCGGGTTTTTGGGCGCTATGCGGGGCAAAATTTTAGCGAACAAAGCGTCCGCTATGCGGATTGTCCGCTATGCAAGGCGTCCGTTATGCGGGGGTCCACTGTATATATATATTACTTCAGTAGCCAGTTCTTTCATTGGAGAGCAAAGCTAACCTGGATGTGACCATTGTAGAATGTAAAAAACATTTTATGAGTGAGCAGTCTAAAGGGTTCTTCCTCTACTTATTGGCAAGGTCAGAAATATGTGGTACAGTGTTTACAAGTTAAGTGGAATGCATGCCAGTGACAGTCATGAATTTTCATAGTGTTTATGGTCGTTCTCTCAGTGCTTGAATGTCTTGCTGCTAGTGCTCATTATCTCTCTACGTATTAAATGGAAGAAATTTGCATGATTTTGGTTAACTGTCTGACATCCGAGTAAGTCTGCCCCAAAATAATAGTCATCATTGTTAAAATAATTGTCAGCATTGTTAAAATGCTTTGATGTAAACCATGAAATTTAGTGTGTTCTGTCCTGCCGTTTTTCCCCCTATGTTTTTGGTCCCACCCTCGTGAGCCATTAGCTCTTCTACAGTGCTCCTTATTCTTGTCCTTAGACTTCCTCTTCTACTGCTACTGCTAATTACTACTATTACTAATTACTACTATTACTAATTACTACTATTACTAATTACTACTTACTATTACTAATTACTACTATACTAATTACTACTCTACTAATTACTGCTACACACTAATTACTGCTACTACTACTAATTACTGCTACTACTACTAATTACTGCTACTACTACTAATTACTGCTACTACTACTAATTACTGCTACTACTAATTACTGCTACTACTAATTACTGCTACTACTACTAATTACTGCTACTACTATACTAATACTTTTACTACTACTAATTACTGCTACTACTACTAATTACTGCTACTACTAATTACTGCTACTACTACTAATTACTGCTACTACTACTAATTACTGCTACTACTACTAATTACTGCTACTACTACTAATTACTGCTACTACTACAATTACTGCTACTACTACTAATTACTGCTACTACTAATTACTGCTACTATAATACTACTAATTACTGCTATTTACTATTACTGCATACTACTAATTACTGCTACTACTAATACTGCTACTACTACTAACTACTAATTACTACTACTAATTACTACTACTAATTACTACTACTACTACTAATTACTACTACTAATTACTACTACTACTAATTACTACTAATTACTACTACTACTAATTATCAAACTAATTACTACTACTAATTACTACTACTACTAATTACTACTACAATTACTATACTATTACTACTACTACTAATAACTTACTACTAATTACTACTACTACTAATTATCTACTACAAATTTACTTACTACTAATTACTACTACTACTAATTACTACTACTACTAATTACTACTACTACTAATTACTACTACTACTAATTACTACTACTACTAATTACTACTACTACTACTAAACTACTACTACTAATTACTACTACTACTAATTACTACTACTACTAATTACTACTACTACTAATTATTACTACTAATTACTACTACTACTAATTATTACTACTACTAATTACTACTACTACTAATTATTACTACTACTAATTACTACTACTAATTATTACTACTACTAATTACTACTACTAATTACTACTACTACTATTACTACTACTACTAATTACTACTACTAATTACTACTACTACTAATTACTACTACTAATTACTACTAATTACTACTACTAATTACTACTACTAATTACTACTACTAATTACTACTACTACTAATTACTACTACTACTAATTACTACTACTAATTACTACTACTACTACTACTACTACTACTATTACTACTACTAAATTACACTACTAATTACTACTACAAACTAATTACTACTACTAACTAATTTACTACTACTAATTACTACTACTAATTACTACTACTACTATAATCTACTACTACTAATTACTACTAAAAACCTAATTACTACTACTACCACTAATTACTACTATACAAATTTACTACAAACTACTAAATTACTACTACTACTAATTACTACTACTAATTACTACTACTAATTACTACTACTACTACTAATTAAACTACAAACTACTACTAATTACTACTACAAAATTACTAACTAACTACTACTAATTACTACTACTACTAATTACTACTACTACTAATTACTACTACTACTAATTACTACTACTACTAATTACTACTACTACTAATTACTACTACTAATTACTACTACTAATTACTACTACTAATTACTACTACTAATTACTACTACTAATTACTAACTACAAAACTACAAATTACTACTACTAATTACTACTACTAATTACTACTACTAATTACTACTAATTACTACTACACTACTACTACTACTAATTACTACTACTAATTACTACTACTACTAATTACTACTACTACTAATTACTACTACTACTAATTACTACTACTACTAATTACTACTACTAATTTACTACTACTACTAATATACTACTACTAATTACTACTATATACTACTACTAATTACTACTACTACTAATTACTACTACTAATTACTACTACTACTAATTACTACTAATTACTACTAATTACTACTACTACTAATTACTACTACTAATAATTACTACTAATTACTACTACTACTAATTACTACTACTACTACTAATTACTACAAACTAATTACTACAAATTTACTACTAATTTACTACTACTACTAATTACTACTACTACTAATTACTACTACTAATTACTAATTAATTACTACTACTAATTACTACTATTACTAATTACTACTACTACTCATTACTAATTACTACTATACTAATTACTACAATTAAACTACTAATTACTATACTAATTACTACTACTAATTACTAATATAATTACTACTACAAATAACTGCTTCTATTCTGCTGCCACCACTGCCACTACTACTACTACTAATACTACTACTACAAAACTACTACTAACTACTACTACTACTAACTACATTTCTCAACTACTACTACTAACAATACAAACTACTAAACTACTACTACTACTACTACTACTAACTACTACTACTACTAACTACTACTACTAGCTACTACTAACTACTACTACTACTAACTACTACTACTACTACTAACTACTACTACTAACTACTGCTACTAACTACTACTAACTACTACTACTAACTACTACTACTAACTACTACTACTACTTACTGCCTCTACTGCTACTTCTACTTCATGCTACCATCACTGCCTCTACTGCTACTTCTACTACATACTAACACCACTGCCTCTACCTCACTTCACTCCACTTTCTCTTGTGCCACTACCTCTACTCCCCCATCCTATTACTACCACCATCATCACTACTACTTCCACTACCAACATTACCTCTACCTCTACTATGCCCAATTCCTTCTTTCCTCCTCCTATCTTTGTGCCATCCTTGCTTTCCTCTTGTATATGTACTGGCTCCCTTACCTTCGTGTGTTAGTGTGTAACTGGTTAATCGTCCAAGTTGGACCATAAAATCATAAGTTTCTTTCTCCTATGTGCGGGTTATTAGTGTATTGTTCCAGTCATGGTGTTGTGCATTTTTGTTCTTTTAATGCCATAATGAAGCTTCTAATTACTGATCGTCTTTATCACCTACAGTTTTTTGGTATTCTCGTACCATGATTATGATTAAGTATTATAGGACTTGCTTTGCCTAGCATATCCCAGTAAGCATACTGCAATGCTTCTCTGTTCTTAAGGTTGTCTGGTTGCCAACATCTGCTATTTACATCTTTATTTCATATTCTGTTATAAATTACATGCAATGCAGACAAGTTGAAACTTTTTAGCAATAAAAATGCCTAAGTATAGCATATATTTTATTACATATTCTTATTCTCTTATACAAGTGAGAAGGGTTGGGTTTGAGAGGGACTTGTCTCTCTCCCTGGCTATGCCTCTGCTCCCATTATTATGCATAAGTTTTATTAAGACTACAGTGTCAAAACTTAGCTCATCTTTATCCTCACTACACTTCTCATGGTGTGTGGAGGAACATGCTGAAAAGAATGAAATATTTCAGGAAATTAGGTTTTAAAGATATATAATAACTTCACATTTTGTACTGCTTTTCACGATAACATCATTGGTATTGTTCTGTTCATTACCACTCCTTATGTTGTTCACTTGCCATGTTTGCCCTTCCTAGAATTTTTATTCTTTCATTCTCTATATAAATTAGCCTCGTTTCTTTTAGTTATCCATCCATTTCACAATCATACCACTTTTCAAGTCAAATACAGGTAACAAATTTTTATTTTGAATTGTATAGAAACTGACATAATTATTCTAAAAGTGTTTGCCTGAGAGAGTTTTAACATATTTTATTTACTTTCTTCGTGTAGGTATCCGGCCATATGAATGTCGAATCTGTGAAGCAGTGTTCACACGACAGCACTCGTTAAACTATCACATGTTAATCCACACCAATCAAACACGTTTTACCTGTGTGGATTGTGGCCGCAAATTTCGTCATCCTTCACACTTCAAAGAACACCGTCGCCGTCATACTGGAGAGAGTCCATACGAGTGTTCAGATTGTTTGATGAGGTAGGTTTTGTTGCTCATGAATACAGATAAATATGGTCCAAGTTGGATTAAAACTTTGTCATACGCTTCTCTCTCCTATGTGCGGGTGATTTGTGTAGTGTAAACATGTTATCAGGCATTTATACGCATTTAAAAGTGAAAAAAAGGGGGGGGAATTCACTTGAACACAATTTTTGTTTTACAATGGTAGCCTGTATAGGTAGTAGGTTGGTAGACAGCAACCACCCAGGGAAGTACTACCGTCCTGCCAGATGACTGTGAAACAAAAACCTGTAACTGTTTTGCATGATGGTAGGATTGCTGGTTTCTTTTTCTGTCTCATAAACACGCTAGATAACAGGGATATCTTGCTACTCCTACTTACACTTTGGTCACACTTCACAGACACGCACATGCATATATATATATACATACATCTAGGTTTTTCTCCTTTTTCTAAATAGCTCTTGTTCTTTTTTATTTCTTCTATTGTCCATGGGGAAGTGGAAAAGAATCTTTCCTCCGTAAGCCATGCGTGTCGTATGAGGCGACTAAAATGCCGGGAGCAATGGGCTAGTAACCCCTTCTCCTGTATACATTTACTAAAAAAGAGAAGAAGAAAAACTTATAAAACTGGGATGCTTAAATGTGCGTGGATGTAGTGCGGATGACAAGAAACAGATGATTGCTGATGTTATGAATGAAAAGAAGTTGGATGTCCTGGCTCTAAGCGAAACAAAGCTGAAGGGGGTAGGAGAGTTTCAGTGGGGGGAAATAAATGGGATTAAATCTGGAGTATCTGAGAGAGTTAGAGCAAAGGAAGGGGTAGCAGTAATGTTAAATGATCAGTTATGGAAGGAGAAAAGAGAATATGAATGTGTAAATTCAAGAATTATGTGGATTAAAGTAAAGGTTGGATGCGAGAAGTGGGTCATAATAAGCGTGTATGCACCTGGAGAAGAGAGGAATGCAGAGGAGAGAGAGAGATTTTGGGAGATGTTAAGTGAATGTATAGGAGCCTTTGAACCAAGTGAGAGAGTAGTTGTGGTGGGGGACCTGAATGCTAAAGTAGGAGGAACTTTTAGAGAGGGTGTGGTAGGTAAGTTTGGGGTGCCAGGTGTAAATGATAATGGGAGCCCTTTGATTGAACTTTGTATAGAAAGGGGTTTAGTTATAGGTAATACATATTTTAAGAAAAAGAGGATAAATAAGTATACACGATATGATGTAGGGCGAAATGACAGTAGTTTGTTGGATTATGTATTGGTAGATAAAAGACTGTTGAGTAGACTTCAGGATGTACATGTTTATAGAGGGGCCACAGATATATCAGATCACTTTCTAGTTGTAGCTACACTGAGAGTAAAAGGTAGATGGGATACAAGGAGAATAGAAGCATCAGGGAAGAGAGAGGTGAAGGTTTATAAACTAAAAGAGGAGACAGTTAGGGTAAGATATAAACAGCTATTGGAGGATAGATGGGCTAATGAGAGCATAGGCAATGGGGTCGAAGAGGTATGGGGTAGGTTTAAAAATGTAGTGTTAGAGTGTTCAGCAGAAGTTTGTGGTTACAGGAAAGTGGGTGCAGGAGGGAAGAGGAGCGATTGGTGGAATGATGATGTAAAGAGGGAGAAAAAGTTAACATATGAGAAGTTTTTACAAAGTAGAAGTGATGCAAGGAGGGAAGAGTATATGGAGAAAAAGAGAGAGGTTAAGAGAGTGGTGAAGCAATGTAAAAAGAGAGCAAATGAGAGAGTGGGTGAGATGTTATCAACAAATTTTGTTGAAAATAAGAAAAAGTTTTGGAGTGAGATTAACAAGTTAAGAAAGCCTAGAGAACAAATGGATTTGTCAGTTAAAAATAGGAGAGGAGAGTTATTAAATGGAGAGTTAGAGGTATTGGGAAGATGGAGGGAATATTTTGAGGAATTGTTAAATGTTGATGAAGATAGGGAAGCTGTGATTTCGTGTATAGGGCAAGGAGGAATAACATCTTGTAGGAGTGAGGAAGAGCCAGTTGTGAGTGTGGGGGAAGTTCGTGAGGCAGTAGGTAAAATGAAAGGGGTAAGGCAGCCGGGATTTGATGGGATAAAGATAGAAATGTTAAAAGCAGGTGGGGATATAGTTTTGGAGTGGTTGGTGCAATTATTTAATAAATGTATGGAAGAGGGTAAGGTACCTAGGGATTGGCAGAGAGCATGCATAGTTCCTTTGTATAAAGGCAAAGGGGATAAAAGAGAGTGCAAAAATTATAGGGGGATAAGTCTGTTGAGTGTACCTGGTAAAGTGTAGGTAGAGTTATAATTGAAAGAATTAAGAGTAAGACGGAGAATGGGATAGCAGATAAACAAGGAGGCTTTAGGAAAGGTGGGGGGTGTGTGGACCGGGTTTTTACAGTGAACATATAAGTGAACAGTAATTTAGATAAGGCTAAAGAGGTCTTTGTGGCATTTATGGATTTGGAAAAGGCATATGACAGGGTGGATAGGGGGCAATGTGGCAGATGTTGCAAGTGTATGGTGTAGGAGGTAGGTTACTGAAAGCAGTGAAGCGTTTTTACGAGGATAGTGAGGCTCAAGTTAGAGTATGTAGGAAAGAGGGAAATTTTTTCCCAGTAAAAGTAGCCTTAGACAAGGATGTGTGATGTCACCGTGGTTGTTTAATATATTTTAAGATGGGGTTGTAAGAGAAGTAAATGCGAGGGTCTTGGCAAGAGGCTGGAGTTAAAAGATAAAGAATTACACATAAAGTGGAGTTGTCACAGCTGCTCTTTGCTGATGACACTGTGCTCTTGGGAGATTCTGAAGAGAAGCTGCAGAGATTGGTGGATGAATTTGGTAGGGTGTGCAAAAGAAGAAAATTAAAGTGAATACAGGAAAGAGTAAGGTTATGAGGATAACAAAAAGATTAGGTGATGAAAGATTGAATATCAGATTGGGGAGAGAGTATGGAGGAGGTGAACGTATTCAGATATTTGGGAGTGGACGTGTCAGTGGATGGGTCTATGAAAGATGAGGTGAATCATAGAATTGATGAGGGAAAAAGAGTGAGTGGTGCACTTAGGAGTCTGTGGAGACAAAGAACTTTGTCCTTGGAGGCAAAGAGGGGAATGTATGAGAGTATATGTTTAACCAACCCTCTTATATGGGTGTGAAGCGTGGGTGATGAATGTTGCAGCGAGGAGAAGGCTGGAGGCAGTGAGATGTCATGTCTGAGGGCAATGTGTGGTGTGAATATAATGCAGAGAATTCGTAGTTTGGAAGTTAGGAGGAGGTGCGGGATTACCAAAACTGTTGTCCAGAGGGCTGAGGAAGGGTTGTTGAGGTGGTTCGGACATGTAGAGAGAATGGAGCGAAACAGAAGACTTCAAGAGTGTATCAGTCTGTAGTGGAAGGAAGGCGGGGTAGGGGTCGGCCTAGGAAGGGTTGGAGGGAGGGGTAAAGGAGGTTTTGTGTGCGAGGGGCTTGGACTTCCAGCAGGCATGCGTGAGCGTGTTTGATAGGAGTGAATGGAGACAAATGGTTTTTAATACTTGACGTGCTGTTGGAGTGTGAGCAAAGTAACATTTATGAAGGGATTCAGGGAAACCGGCAGGCCGGACTTGAGTCCTGGAGATGGGAAGTACAGTGCCTGCACTCTGAAGGAGGGGTGCTAATGTTGCAGTTTAAAAACTGTAGTGTAAAGCACCCTTCTGGCAAGACAGTGATGGAGTGAATGATGGTGAAAGTTTTTCCTTTTTCGGGCCACCCTGCCTTGGTGGGAATCGGCCAGTGTGATAATAAAAAATAATGGTAGCCTGGAACCTAACCAGCCATATAATTGGGGTCCTCCTGTATATGAAAGACAAGGTAAACCATAGAACTGATAAAGGAAAAAGATGGGTAGTGCATTGAGGCATCTGTGGAGACAAAGAATGTTTTCCACGAGGCAGGAGGACCCTGCTTATGCTGCAGGTTAGGTTCCAGGCTACTGCTGTAAAGTAAAATATAGCCTTGTTTACCGATGACTCGGGACTTACGATGGGCTCTCGGACCAGAATTCATACCTAAATAATGTATATTAGTGCTGATTTCCTCTATTCTGTTTATTACAATTACATAAACTATTATATAAACATTTAAAAATATACCAGAAATGTTGTAAATGGTGCAAAGTTGACATTAAAGCAATGTCAAAGATGGTTGACACAAATCCACTACTACAGGTCTCCCTCAACATTCGCGAGGGTTAGGGGATCAAGAGCCTCGCAAATGTTGAAAAATATATTGTAGGAAAATATAATACAATACTGCTTCCTTAACTTGTTGAACCATGAACAATCATAAAATACGTGAAAACGTCGTAAATTGTACTAAATACATACACGTTATGGTTTAATAACATGTATGTTATTAAATACCACTGCCTCCACCACTGCCTCAACCACTGGGAGTCCCTACTACCCTCCTTCCGACCCCCGCAACGGGCAGCCAGCCCTCCCACCACTGTGTGGTGAGCGTTTTGTTTGTTCATTATTTGCTATTAAACTACAGTGTAAATAAAGTAAACCCATTCATGACTGCATTTTGGAATGGCTATTCGGACAGGTATTGGACGGTGACATCATATGTTCACTCTTGAACAAAGGCAAAGAATCAATCATTTCTGCTACTGCTATTAATAACAATAGTAATAATAATAATAATAAATACGGTAGAATTGAAGAAGGAAATTGTACAAAAATACGAGGGTTGAAGCAATAGTGGAGGGAGTGGTTGACACATCGTCAGTGTGGCTTTGTTTATGCTGGAGTGAGCATTAGTCTCCGTGCTCTTCCAAACATTTCACAATAATTCATTGTGTTTGGGGCTTGTAGATTGAGTACGACTGGAGTGGTAGAGGCAGTGGTATTTAACCCTTAAACTGTTCAAACATAGATCTATGTTTTTTCAACATTTGAAAATATGTAAAAAAATAATCTTTTTTTTTTTTTTTTTACATTTAAAAAACGTTAAAAAAAAACTTTGATCTTTTTTTTTTTT